TCCCCCAACAATATAATAGTTATATAATAATTTAAAGGTTATGCGCCCCTCTTGGATATGCTATTAACTTCTCGTTTCTATATCCCTCAGGAGCAGTCTGGGTCAATTTGATCCGCTAACTGTTAATAAATCTTCATTAAAACAGTCATGCTTATTTTTTTGTCTAAATCCTATTTCCCTTGAAAATTTTCTCGATTCCGCCTACAATAGGGGTATTCTTAGGCCAGAACTCTACTTACATGCAAAATTTCGTGACGATTGTGTCCTGCATCGTGTCAACAGAGAATGGAGAATGGACAGACGGGCGGACACACATGTCTAGATCGACTCAGCTAGTCCAGATTTGACGATCGGCATATTGAAAGGTATGTCTAGGAAAGGTATGTCTGCTGCCCTATAGCTATAATATTCTGACAACATATTTGTGTAGGGTATAATGAGGTATGACCTTGATATGAGGGGGAATGACAGAACATGCACCCATATTGAATAGTTTCTTCAAAAAGGTTGTCCAAGATACCGGACTGCAAAATTACGGCCACTTTGGTAGGAAAATGTGGTTAAAACCTTAAAAACACCAAAAAAATTAGCCGGCACCGTTATATGGCGGTTATACCAAACCATAGGCCTTCTCATCCCATTTTCAATACCAGACATCCAAGAAGTAGTAGCAATGTATGTGAAAGTGCTCTATCGGAAGTACGGACTGACAAATAGAATGGTGTAAAATGTTATTCTAATCAAAAATATATCTCAGCGGGTACAGGGATGCCCAGGGTACCCCGACCCCTCAAAATAATTTTTTTTCATACAAAAAATGTATTTTTTGCAATGAGAATTTTTATACTTGAACCATCGCCCCACCCTAACATTAAATCCTGTGTATGTTGGTGATCGGGTATCCAACGAATATTTCAAGATATTTCGAACGGATTGACAAATTTCCCCTTAGCCTTCTATTAGTGAACCCTTGGTTCTTCATTATTGGACCTTGCGGTCTTCGAATTCCGAATTATTGTACCTTATGGTCTCCGAATTTTCCGAATTCTTCCTCCAAACTTTCTCCTTCACAACTTATTAAAAATTATTACCTTTCCAAAAATTACATTCAATGCACGTGTCTGATGCATTTTTTCTTGTCATTAACTATCCGATAACAGGCAAACATACATATATCAAGTTGTGTTATCTGACATTAGTCAATTACCATTGAAATTTGGCAAACACCAACAACATCACAAACATGTTTAACACATCACCCTTCAACTGTGTGATAACCTTCAAAATAATCATTCAACTATGCCGGAGCTATCGCGGCCGCAGAATGGCATTGAGGCAATAATTTTCCACCGCACATGAGCACCACATACACATGCATGAATGGCTGAAGAGCCAATCGCATGAAAATTTTCAAATGCAAGTGAAATTAAAATAAAAAAATATAAATCGCTTACCTTCCAAAACCCGATTTGCCACAGGTGATAACATAAAACTTATCATCGGCCAATTCCAATGTCTTGTGGACACGTACCGCCAGTTGAATGGACCTTTCCTCGGTGCGCTAATTTGGAAAGAGAAAAATACAGTGAACGATTAGTGAGGTGGGTCATTTGTCTGGGAGATTGATTAAAAAATTAGTTTGAACAATTTGCAAATGTGATTTATTTTTAATTTTATTTATTTTTTTTATTTTATTATGGAGTCGATTAAATCATAAGCAGATTAAATTGTAAATAGTTTTATTAAATGATTATTATATGTGGTGTCAGTCAGCGGTGTTGGCAAAAATTAATTCCCAAGTGTTTTAAGTGAAAATGGTGCACAATATATTTATTTGTTTTAATTGAAAAAATAGTTAATCTATATCAGCATGTTATTTGCTTTAAAAAAATAGCTACTTATCCATAACAGCTTTGAGGTTGTTTGTTTTTATTTTCAGTTGCAGCTGTGGTACAAGTCCAAGACATTGCAACCAGTTTTTTGTTATACAAAGTCGCAGCTTGTGTCTTGTTTGTATTATTTTTTTTTCTCCTTTCGTATTACATATTTTATGCCACACATAATGATATAATTGAGAAAATAAACAATTGCTTTATTTTTGTCTAATATTTTTTTTTATTACAGAGTAACAAAAATATGCATTTGTATTGTTGCTAGTCATTGCATTCACATTAAAAACAAAAGACTTAGGCAACAAACTTGCCACGACGCTTGTTTTTCTTATGGTCATATAAATCAATTGAATGGTTTATGCAAACAAATAAATGCGATTTTTTGTTGTTTTAATAAAAAAAAATAATTGCTTTTGGAAAGACAATTGCATATTGTTTCGCATATAGAGCTATTTCAACTTCACACAAAGTGTTTAATTTAGATTAAAAGTTCATTGTAATGTGTGAACGGTTTGATAGCCACCTCGGGCTTGTTTGGCAAATTCTGTTGCAAAATAAATGATTATTGAAACATTGTGGCAAGAGTAGGATAATTTTCGGTCCTGGAAAATTAAAAATTATTCAAATCGGATTATATCTTTACTTGAATATTCCAAAACTTAATCCCTTAAGGGGACCCCCCATTCTCGGGGTCAAACATTTTTTGATTTAATTCGATTCTACACTAATTCAAGAATGCCTCTACAAAATTTCAAGTGAAAATCTCAAGAACTCTTGAAGATATAGCCGATTTATTGTGTCAGCATCAAGTGACGGCTAAAGGGCTTCTCAATCTTTAAACGCTAACCTAACCTAATCGATTCCAAATTTTTACACGCGTAGATTTTCCAAAAATATTTTTTCAAAGGTCCACCATTTTGTTAACTATAGAGCGAAGTTAATAATCCTAGTTCATACGAGAGCCAGACATGTACTCTTTCTAACGCCGTTAAAATTTTCGAATTCCGATGTTCCAGTGAGAAGTTATCATGCCCGCCATTAAAAATAAGGACTTTTCTTTAATTAAAAACAACAACAACAAACATTAACAAACATTTTTTGTAAATTATTTTTCTTCTCTTTTAAATTTTCAAATATATATGTGCAAAGTTACAAACCTTAACAAGTATTGGTATTGATTTACCAGCCCATTGAAAATCTTGAAAATTTAAAATCGAGAATGGGGGGTTCCCTTAATACACTAGTCCTTGTTTGTGGTTTGTGATTGTGTGTTACGACTGTTTATACTCTACACAACTATGTTTTCAGGGTATTATAGCTTTGAGCAGCCCCAAGAGTTTTAACGCCGTGAAATATTGGTCCTAGAACCACCTTTAAGTATACCGATCGTCATATCTCGACTAGTTGAATCGATCTAGACATGTGTGTCCGTCGGTCCGTCCTTCCGTCTGTCCATTATAATTTGTAAACACGATACAGGCCACAGTTATGGACCAATTTCCACGAAATTTTACATGTAGGATGGGTTCTGGCCAATGTAGGATGGGTTCTGGCCAATGTTTTTGGTAGAGATCAGTTAATATTTTGGGGATGAAATGAACCAAATACTTAATTTTTGTCCATTTTTCTGGTCGCTCCAGATAATGGTGGCCATTATGGCCCGAACATCGCGAAATTTTACATGGAGAACAGGATCGGGCCAAAGAAAAAGCATGCCTGTTTTGATAAAAATTGGTCAATATTTAGCGGGTCAAATGGACCCTGACTTTTGTATGAAAATTTAAAAAAAAAATCTATTCTATGGCGTATATATTTTCCCCTGAAGGGCATAGACCCGAGAAGTTGATAGTATATTCAAGAGAAGTGGTTGCTGTATGTACTCGGATGTGGGAGTTACACTTAAATATTTACAGGTGCTTACATATTCATATATTATTTAGTAAATCTTTGCCACACTAGAGGGCAAAGAACCATGAGGTTTCAGTTATGGTCAAGGACAACTCCTATAATGTTCGGTGATGATCAGATAATAATTTTGGGATAAAGTGGACCGAAAACTTAATTTTTTGTGTTTTTTTGAGTCGATATATAGGTCACAATTAAAAGCCGAACATCATATCATAACCCACGGTGGAGGTGGAATATGGACAAGTAATTAAAAGGACTGTATTGAATATTAGTAATACTCGGAAAATATGTCAGTGTAAGGAGAAGGTGCTCTTGACCTCTAATCAGGCCTAGGCTCGGAACAAAAAACCGTAGAAAGTTAGAGTTCCGTGAAAGCTGTGTAGGGTATCGTATGGTCGGCCCCGTCTAACTATACTGCTCCGCTCACTGGTTTTTAATTTGCTTTGATATTCTCCGTGCAGCTAAATGCAATAAATTAAAGTAATGAGAGGGAAAAAAAGTAAAAAAAAAACTGTAAGCTTCAAATACCGAAATATGTCTTCTTTATAGAGAGGGGCTTCAGTGTCTTCTACATAATACACAATATATTCCAAAAAACCCTGCGAAACTTTTTCTTGTTATAAATAAGGGTTTCTATCCTTATGCCCTGTAGAGTACATCGATTGCAGATATTTGAAAATATCACAATCTTCCAATATTTAATAGACAGACGGTCTTCACGGATATATTTAAAACTCATCCATAGACAAGAAAATAAAAAAAATCAATGTTTTATCGAATAAATATATAATCTTCATGTCGTAATATATATTGAATTGAAGAAGTATCCGAGCTCTAAGCGTGAATTTTTAAGAAGTTTCCGATCTCTAAGCCGGCATTTTTAAAGAATATTTCTAAAGAAGTTTCGGAGCTCAACGCGTGGATTTTTTATAGAATATTTTTGAAGAAGTTTCGAAGCTCTAAGCCGGCATTTTTAAAGAATATTTCTAAAAACGTATCTGAGCTCCAAGCATAGCTTTTTAAAGGAATATTTTATTGAAGAAGTAACTGACCTCCAAGCATGGATTTTTGGATTTTTAATAGAACATTTTTGAGGAAGTTTCGGAGCTCTAAACGTAAATTTTTAGAGAACATACTTGAAAAAGTTTCGGAGCTTGTTTTAAGGAATATTTTATTGAAGAAGTAAATGATCTTCATGCTAGGATTTTTTAAGGGATATCGGAGTTCCAAGGGTGGATTTCTTTAAAGAATATTTTCGGAATAAATTTCCCGCGTGGATTTCTTTAAAGAATATTTTTGAAGAAGAGTCCGAGCTCCAAGCGTGAATTTTTCAAGAATATTTTTGAAGAAGTAGCCGAGCTCCAATCGTGAATTTCTTTAATGAATAGTTTTGAAGATGTATCCGAACTCTAGTCCTCGATTTTTAAATAATATTTTTTATATGCATCCGAGCTCCAAGCGAGGATTTCTTTAAAGAATATTTTTGAGGAAGTATCAGAGCTCCAAGCCGTGTTCCAAACGTAGATTTCATTAAAGAAAATTTTGGAGAAGCTCCAAGCGCAAAAAAATCTCAACATTAATCCACTTTTTAACCACTGTAACGCTTTCTGTAACAATCAAATCTATGCGTTGTTGTACACAACACGACAACAACATCAGCTGCTGCAAAAAACGCTATATAACAAATTTGCATTCCACATGCTCTGGTTAGTGGCAGGCAATCTCTCTGTGTGTGTATGTGTGTGTCTGTAGCATAATCTATGACCAGTCACAAATAGAACAAATTTATTATCGTTCTTGTTGTTGTTGCTGCTGCTGTTACTGTTGTGTCTAGTTTGAATATTTGGTCCGTTGTTGCTGTCCCCGCCATCATCATCGTTGGACGTCTGTCTTACTTAGTTCAACTTTTTTTCTTCTGCTTCTTCTAATCTAATGGCCATAAAAACTGTCGGTCCGTCTGTCTGTCATGCTGTTATTGCCCCAGTGCAACTGGAACACATTCACCACTTCTTTGGAACGACCTGAATCCAACTAGACATGATTGTTGTACGACTCGGAGCTACCTGGAAACATGTTTGGTTTTTTTGGCAATTGTTTTGTGCATGCTGCTGCTGGATGGATAACAGAACTCTGTTGCTGGCGAATTCGTTGGCTGGTAAATTGCCAAGCAAATGGAGTGACACTCCCTTAAAAGTATATACATACATATATAACCAGAAATCAGGTAAGCAACAACTTCGTGTGCTAGACAATGTTCGGAAAAAAAGTTTTTATAGGATTTGTGAGTTTGATAGTTTTTTTGTGGTTTATTTGCCTCGAAGGTGGGTAGAGTCGTAAGACAGAAACTGCAAGTTTTCTGGGTGCAACAAACAGCCACCAAACACACACACCCTCACTCACATATACGAATTTAACTATAGCAGACAAAATGACCATTTTTATGTCTTAGCCACTTAGAGACATACATACGTTTGGACACAACATGCCTGTTGCTGGTTCAAACAGCTAGATAAGCTTAGCAAAGGTGGCTGCACTTCTAGGTAGAGGTGAGTTGAATCTCTCTGCCCTCCTCTTCAAAAGCTGTGGTTGTTATGCCGGCATAATACTACCACCACTATGACAACTCCGATTTTGAGATTTCTGTGTTTCATACGTGAAAAATCAATGACGCACGTTGTTGTTTTTCCAGTTCGACGGCGAACCCGCCAGGTTTTTGGCCACAAGTGGCTTGGCAGATTTATTGGTATTGGTGATATTGCAATGCAAAGTAGCATTAAGTGGCCAACTACTCGTACATGTGTGTGCCCTATTCGCCTTAATATTTATTGACTATTTTTTGTTGTCTTGCTGTTTTTTTTTTCAAATGAAAATCCGTGACTACGATTTAAAAAATATAAATTAGAGCGGTTTGGCATTTTGCAGAACATAAATCTAAGGGTAACTTTCACAAATATTCGATTTGCTTTGAAGGTAATTTGTGTATAGAAATTCTGGCAGAGTTTGTGTCTTAAGTCTTTTGTTTGCATTGGAAACTTATGAGTGGAACAATTATAGAAAGTTGAGTAAAAGACATATGTCCACAGAAGTCCTAAAGGAGAGCCTTAGGAAGGCCTTATATCCATAGAGGAGGTATAGGAGGTCTTCTATGTATACAAAAGCTGCCGGAGGTCTTCTCTAAATAGACGTGTGCAGAAGGTCTTCTAGCTCTAGAAGAGCTGTTGGAGGTCTTCTGACTATAAAATAACTGTTGGAGATCTTCTATCCAAAGAAAAGGTTGCGAAGGACTTCTATCAATAGAAGATCTGTAGGGGGTATTCTAGCTATAGCAAAAATTGTGGAGGTATTCTATACGTAGAAGTGCTACAAGATATCCTCCATCTATAGCAGAGCTACAGGAGCTGCATTAGATCTTCTGTCTATAAAAGAGCGGAAGGCGGTATTTTATTCATAGAAGAGTTGCAGGAGGACTTTTAACTGCAGAAGAGCGGCAGAAGGTCTATAGAAATACTATCGGATATCTTCTATATATAGAAGAGCTGCAGAAGGTCTTCTTGCTAAAGAGGCCATTATTTTTTTTTATTTTGATCTTCAAGTGTGGATTTTTGAAAGAATATTTTTGGAGAAGATTATCTTTAAGCCTGGATTTTTAAAGGATATTTTTGAAGATGTATCCCAACTCCAGGCGTGGATTTTTAAAGAATATTTTTGAAGAAGCTTTCGAGCGTTAAGCGTGGATATTTTAAAGAATATTTTTGAAGAAGCTTCCGAGCGTTAAGCGTGGATTTTTTAAAGAATATTTTTGAAGAAGATTCCGAACTTTAAGCGTGGATTTTTTAAAGAATATTTTTGAATAAGTTTCCGAGCATTAAGCGTGGATTTTTTAAAGAATATTTTTGAAGAAGTTTCCGAGTTTTAAGCGTGGATTTTTTTAAAGAATATTTTTGAAGAAAATTCCGAGCTTTAAGCGTGGATTTTTTAAATAATATTTTTGAAGACGATTCCGAGCTCAAAGGTGGATTTTTGTTAAAGAATATTTTTGAAAAAAATTCCGAGTTTTAAGCGTGGATTTTTTTAAAGAATATTTTTGAAGAAAATTCCGAGCTTTAAGCATGGATTTTTAAAATAATATTTTTGAAGAAGATTCCGAGCCAAAAGCGTGGATTTTTTAAAGAATATTTTTGAAGAAGTTTCTGAGCTCTAAGCGTGGATTTTTTAAAGAATATATTTGAAGAAGATTCCGAGTTTTAAGAGTGGATTTTTTAAAGAATATTTTTGAAGAAGATTCCGAGTTTTAAGCGTGGATTTTTAAAAGAATTTTTTAAGAAGATTCTGAACTTCAAGCTTGAATTTTGAAAGACGTTTTTTAAGAAGTATCCGAAATTCAAGCTTGATTTTTGTTAACAATATTTTATAAGGAGTATCCTGGAGTCCAGTTTGCATTTTTTTTTTAAGTCTAAGATAGCATTTGGTCTCAAGGAGTATTTGAGTTCTAAGAGCGGTTTTTCCTCAAGGATTATCTGCTTCTAAGAGTGGATTATCCTGAAGGATTATTTAATATCTAAGAGTGAACTTTTTCTTAAGGAGTACTTGAGGTGTATTTTTGAGGAAGTTTTTCCCAAGGAGTCCCGAGCTTAATATGTTTTTCTTGAAGAGGTGCCCGAGATTGAGAGTTGATTCTTCCTCAAGGAGTATTCTAGCTTAAAGGGTAAATGTTTGTTAAGGACTATCCGCGATCTAAGAGCTGAAGTATCCGAGATCTAATAGTACATTTTGTCTAAAAGAGTATCCGAGCTCTATTTGATATTTTTTGATTTGTTTCCATGCTCTATTTCAAATGTCTCCTGTCTATAGAAGACCTGCTGAATACCTCCTTGTTTATGGAAGAGGGGTGGATTTTTAATACTATTTTAGAAAGTCTTCAGCCTAAGGAAGACTTGCAAAAGGAAGAAGATCTGCAGAAGGATTTCTATCTATTAAAGGCCTACAGAAGGTCTTCTGTCTATGGAATACCAATGAAGTCCTTCAGAAGGGTTTCTGCCTATATAAGACCTGCCTTCTGTCTATGTCAGACCTGAAGATATCATTCTAGCATGAAGATTCTCTGTGTATAGAACTCTAGGCTTTTGTTGGTTATAGAAGGTCTACAAAGGGGAGTCAATTATTTTTTGCTTTTGTACGAAGAAGATCTAGCCACTAAAATCCCTGCAGAAAATATTTCGTCTATAAAATACGTGTAGAAGAGCTCCGGGTTACTAAAGATCTAAATGGATATTTTTTGATTACCGCATATCTGAAGGACCTACAGAAGTTGATCTGCCCGTAGAACACCTGTGATATTTTATCGGTAGAATATATTTTTTATCAGAAGGACTTCTATAATGACCTTCTGAAGGTATTTTGTATGTAGAAAATCTACAAGATGCCCTTTTGTATATACGGAAAGACTTTTAGTCTACAAGGGTTTTATGAAGACGATATGTGCCCATAAAAACCCTGCAGGAGATAATCCATTCATAAATGATCTGTAGAAGTGCTCCGGTATATGAAAGACCTGCTAAGGTATTTTGGTTTATAGAAGACCTGAAGGAGATATGTTGTTAAAAAAACCTAAAGAAGACCTACAGAAGTTGATCAGCCCATTTTATCTATGGAAGACAGAAGTTCTGATGTCTTCTGTATATAAAAACCGAAGAAGATCCGTATGAAGTTTTTTTGTCTGCGGTAGGGCTTCTGTTCATAAAAACCCTGCAGTAGATATACCGTATATATAATAAAAGACCTTCAGAAGGTATTTCTTTTGCAGAAGACCTCGATGAGTTCGTTTGTATCAAGATTATTGGGAATGTTTTTTGTGTTTTGGGGCCCGCAGAAGGTCTTCTTTTTATAGGAGATCTGTAGACAATTCAAACTCTAGAAAGCCAACAGAAGGCCTACTGTTTGTATAAAATCATAGGAGACTCTATAAAGAATCTGATGAAAATATTTATTTTCTACATTTTTCTTCCCATTCCTTTCTCTCTTCTTCTCCACAACATTGCAAATAAAAAATAATATATCAGTGTTTTATGGTGCCGTTAGTTGTATTAGAATGTTAGCTTACATTTTGTCCACTCACGTTACTGACTAGAACACCGCAATAGTCTGGCGAACCATCTTTGGCCAATAGGTTGAGACTGAAGCCCACCGAATCTGAACCATCACCCATTGCCATGCAAGCAGGGGTACGATAATCACGTGCATGTACAGCTCCACTATAGGGTCCATCCAATTTCACTTTAATGTTCATGGTGCCCGCCTTGCAGGTGGCCGAAACGCGTGGTGCAAATTCTGTTGTCGTTGAGGCTTCTTGGGCGGAGATCTGTAAGGGGAGGGAGAAAAATAAGCGATTACTTAGAGATTAAAAAAATATATGGAAAATAAATAAGACTTTGGAATAGAGGACCAAAATAATTTTAGAGTTTTCATAATGAATCGGAATCCAAATAATTTTTGATTTGGTTATTGTTATTATTTTTTTTAATCTTTTAGATCTGGCAAAATGTTTTAGAAAAACGTATTGGTGGCCAGCCCCTCTTCCACGAAATTAGATTAGTCGAATCAAAGCTCTGCCTTGAAGTAATCAAAAAATTAGAACACAGCAGCCAATAGAGAAATAAACGAAATAAATTCAGCGTCATTAGATCACACAGTTGGCTGGTCCGACCGGACAGTCATATTAACTTCGAAATAAAAAATTATGCATCCGCCACTACTGAAAAAAATAATTTCCTTCAATTCGAATTCCAGGTAGCTTTTGGAGTAAATGTTTTAATTGCTGCCTGCTGTGTTTTTGAAAATAAAAGTTTTCTCAAGACCAAGGAATGGTGGCGAAGATTCTGACGCTCATGATGATGATTCATAGCAATTACAAGCCGCATGACATACATTCTTCAAGATGATCATCTAACATTTACATATCGACGGGTGTTACAAACTACGAGATCATCATCCAGAAGAAGATTTAGGCAACGAAACAGTTGGCGATCATTAAAGCCATTAAAAAGCATTTTCTACATATTAAGTCTACATGGCTTACAGTGGTAATTCTTCTTCATCTTCTTTTCAACGAAATTCTAATGGACATCATTTTTCTGGATATTTTCGACAAAAAATATTTCATGGTGATTTTACAAGTTAGGCCTTTTACTTTTTTTCGTTCGCATTTCCCAAAGCCATTAAAGCCTTACTTTACCTGTCTTCATCTCTAATTAATAGTCCAGCCTGCCACAGGGCCAAATTCAATTAATAATTTTTCAAAATTTCTTCAACACTTAATGGGACCACTAAATTAATGATGATGATTTATTTTTACAGAACTTCTATTTTTTCTAAGAATGGGAATGCCAAGATTACCACAAGTGAAATGAATTTGCTGTAGGTATTTCAGGCGGGGGGAGGGATCTGTTTTCTAAATAAGAGGCGTTGTCAGACATTAATGATGGCATGATTTGTAGATTAAAGATGCCCTACTTATTTAAATGGTCTATTTAGGCAATAAATAATTAAATACCAGAACGTAAGTGACCCAAATACCAAGAGTTCGGTAAACTAATTTAGAACAATGTTTTTTAAGAATATTTTTTCAAGCTTCAGAATAGGCGTGGATTTTTTAAAGAATATTTATTCAGGCCTTACAATAGGCGTGGATATTTTAAAAAAATATTTTTTCAAGCCGCCACAATAGGCGTGGATTTTTTAAAAAAATATTTTTTCAAGCCTTACTTGAAAAAATAGGCGTGGATTTTTTAAAGAATACTTTTTCAAGCCTTACTTGAAAAAATAGGTTTGGATTTTCAAGTAAGGCTTGAAAAAATAGGCGTGGATTTATTAAAGAATATTTTTTTAAGCCTTACTTAAAAAAATAGGCGTGGATTTTTTAAAGAATACTTTTCAAGCCTTACTTAAAAAAATAAGCGTGGATTTATTAAAGAATATTTTTTCAGGCCTTACTTAAAAAATAAGCGTGGATTTTTTAAAGAATATTTTTTCAGGCCTTACTTAAAAAATAAGCGTGGATTTTTTAAAGAATATTTTTTCAAGCCTTATTTGTGGCGTGGATTTTTAAAGATTATTTTTTCAAACCTTAAACATTATTATCAAGCCTTATAAACATTAGCATTGTCATGCTCAGATTTTGTACTATAAACGTAATATTATCCGCATCTATACACGGCGTTTCGCTGCTTTCCAATTCAGGTTCGTGACTTAAGTCTTTTGTTTGTTTGCTCACAAGAAATGCTGCCTATTAGGGTTTGGTCAGATTTAGATGAACAGATTTCGTTTATTCATATAGAGAATATCAAGTTGTCCAATTCAATTCAAATATCACATACTTCCTCCGACTAGACTTCTTATCAAAATTGTCTTGATTTTATTTTGTCACTTTGTCAATGTCCGCTTATCACCGGTATTTTTTTTTAATTATTTAGAAACATTTAAAATTGTTCATGATTCACTGAGATCATTAAAAAATTCTGTGAATTTTTCTGTTTTTTAATTTTATTTTTACAATGAATAGACATTTTCAAAACTGTACAGCTGGCTGCTGGGCTAGAGTCTAGAATTTGAAATCTAAAAATAAAAACGAAAAAAAAATAATTGATAATTATCGTCGTCTACTCCAGCTACCCCCCAAATGCTTTACTCTAAGCCTTAGTTGTGTTACTCCACAAACCGCAGCGGCGGCTGCGGTGTGCATTCGACAAACTTTGTGTGTGGCTGCTGGGCAAGATCGATGTTAAGAACAAAAACGATGGCGGCATCGAAAAACTCAAATTCAGAAAAATTTGAATTCATTCCGTTTATAATTTGTTTTCCATCGTTTTATGTGAAACATTGCCTCTGGGTCAATAGCCAGTCATAAAATCTCAGGCAACAGAAACTGATGAACTCTTGATGGCTGTGATTAATTTTTTTTCCTGTTCATCTGGGTTTTGTTTTATTAGGCCACGACGATGATGATGATGAGTATCGGAATGAAGTATCAGCTGAAGGAAAAAATCTTTAGTTGTCGCTTTTAATTGCTCAAAATATTTATTGAATGCTGTGCAACAGCAGCAGCGGCGGCGACTAGAGAATCGCATTTGTAATTCTTAATGGATTTATTGATTCCCGCTGGATAATCAAAATTATGATGAATGTCTAAAATGTGGAACACAATTATTTGAATGGAAATTAATTAGGCAAACGTTGATGAATTAACTTCCTCAGAAGGTATTGTGTTTTGATTGGAAACAATAACATAAATCAAATTTTATAGGTCATAACAAGCTGAGAGAAACAAACAATGATCTGTGGAGAGGATATTTTTCAAAATATTCTTTAAAAAATCCACGCCTATTGTAGGGCTTAAAAATATTCTTTAAGAAATCCACGCCTATTATAAGGCTTGAAAAAATATTCTTTAAGAAATCCACGCCTATTGTAAGGCTTGAAAAAATATTCTTTAAGAAATCCACGCCTATTGTAGGGCTTAAAAAATATTCTTTAAAAAATCCACGCCTATTGTAAGGCTTGAAAAAATATTCTGTAAGAAATCCACGCCTATTGTAGGGCTTAAAAAAATATTCTTTAAGAAATCCACGCCTATTATAAGGCTTGAAAAAATATTCTGTAAGAAATCCATGCCTATTGTAGGGCTTAAAAAATATTCTTTAAGAAATCCACGCCTATTGTAGGGCTTAAAAAATATTCTTTAAGAAATCCACGCCTATTGTAGGGCTTAAAAATATTCTTTAAGAAATCCACGCCTATTATAAGGCTTGAAAAAATATTCTTTAAGAAATCCACGCCTATTGTAAGGCTTGAAAAAATATTCTTTAAGAAATCCACGCCTATTGTAGGGCTTAAAAAATATTCTTTAAAAAATCCACGCCTATTGTAAGGCTTGAAAAAATATTCTGTAAGAAATCCACGCCTATTGTAGGGCTTAAAAAATATTCTTTAAGAAATCCACGCCTATTATAAGGCTTGAAAAAATATTCTGTAAGAAATCCATGCCTATTGTAGGGCTTAAAAAATATTCTTTAAGAAATCCACGCCTATTGTAGGGCTTAAAAAATATTCTTTAAGAAATCCACGCCTATTGTAGGGCTTAAAAATATTCTTTAAGAAATTCACGCCTATTGTAGGGCTTAAAAAATATTCTTTAAGAAATCCATGCCTATTGTAGGGCTTAAAAAATATTCTGTAAGAAATCCACGCCTATTGTAGGGCTTAAAAAATATTCTTTAAGAAATCCACGCCTATTGTAGGGCTTAAAAAATATTCTGTAAGAAATCCACGCCTATTGTAGGGCTTAAAAAATATTCTTTAAGAAATACACAATACAAAAAAGTCTTCTTTAAAAAATCCACGCCTATTGTAGTCCTTAAAAAAATCTTCTTTAAAAAATCCACGCCTATTGTGGCGGCTTGAAAAAATATTCTTTAAAAACTCAATGCCTATTGTGGAGCTTAAAAAATATTCTTTAAAAAATCCAAGCCTTAACCTTTTAAGATTTTTTTTTTTCAAAAAATCAGCCCTCAAGCTTTTTCTAGTCTACTGTGTCCAGAGTTCACAGCCGTAACCAGAGGTGCCAAACAAAGAACCATGCGAAGCATCTGCACATGATGGGCATGCACTTTAGCTGCCACACATACCTTTGGGCCGGTCGACACATGCAGACAGCTAGAAATGTATGCGTGGATGTGTTATTTTAGATAAATGGAAAGATACATAGATGGATGGATCGGCCGGTCGGTTGGTCGTTTGGGAGATGGATGTTTGGATGGATGCATTGATGCCTAGTCTGCCTCTCTCATGCGGGGCTGTTGCTGCTACATGAACTTACATTAGGTTAATGACTTACATGACAGCAGCAGCCCCAACATCAACAACAAATGCTAACAAACTAGCAATGGTTCTAACCAAAAACAACAACAAGAGCTTACATCCATTATTCAAAAAAATCCAAACCCCAGATTAGTCCTCAGGCTTAGACACTTTACATTGCAGACAACCAAAACAGCAACAACAACACCAACATAAAAATTAAATTTAAATAGGCTTAGGGAAAAAATAGTTTTGGTGAAAAGTGAGGTGAGGGCCTTATCGGAATGAGTGAGTGACTGGCTGCCTGACTATGTGTGATTTGAACAATTGCCAAGTTAGACAGCCATCAATCTGAACAGCAATGTTCCGACAATGAAAGCCTGACTACATGCCGGCCCGGTGGTATTTTGCCACTCGTTTGAATTTCATTACAATTTTAAATAACAACAACAACAACGCCAACAACTAAAGGTGTTGTTGTTGATGATGTGTGATGTTCCTCTTTTC